CATAAAAAAATGGTCTCAATACTGTCAGCATTTGGCTCTGAGGGAGTACCTCAGAAAGATGTGACTCGCCGAGGTAGTCATGTGGATTTACATATGTAACTAAGAGTGTGATGTTCGTTGTAAAATACTGTATATTTCCATTTGTGAAACTCTATCTGTTATTACTAATAAATCAATATTAGAATACATTTGCATTGGTTGTCTGTGACTCATTTGGAGTCATTTCGTGGGAAGAGTATCTCCAGCGTATGTATTACGATTCAAAACATTGTGGGAGTTATGCTGGCCCTGTTGAGTTCTATGAAGCTGTGAAAGGTGAATGTCAGTTAAGACTGTGGATATCTATATCAAAGGCCACGAGGACATTCTAGTTTCATGTATCCGTGGACCAGTGACAGTGACACATCATCTCAAGCTGCTCCCATTTTGGTTTTCATCACGAATCCGTGATAAAAAGAGTTTGAACCTGATGTTGACATTATCTGCCCAGGGCTGAAGCGAAAGGAGACCCTTATGATTCGATAATGCGTGGTGGAGAAAAATCTGCCATGATCTCTGTAGATCGATTTTTGGAATTGTATGTCTCAGAATGGAAGAAAAAGGACCCACATACCTCAGAACAGCCTAAAATGTATTTCATCACTCCTACTCAACAAGTAGTCGAACAGGAGAGGCGCGTATTCAGATGCAGAAGTCTATAAAAGAGACATCCAGCTAAAAGCCAGGAAATTAATTTTGTCCCAGAATCGCACAAAGAAATGGAAGATGAATGTTTAGATAAAAGCAGCTAGTAGACTGGTTAGCCGTCATTTAGACTAGGACCCCCATGCAGTCATCAACAATGTGGCTCATGTGCAATCACAACTTTCCAAGTAGGGATGTCATGCTCAGACATCTCAGGAATCAACATGGACGAGCAATGCAACCACCTCAAGTACCACCACAGTTCCCACCACCACTACGTCCACCTCCATAGCCACACTCAGAGCCACAGTCAAAGCCACAGAACCATGCTCAGATCCACAGGGCCACACTCTCAGGGCCACAGAGCCATTTGGCAGCCATAGGGAGCGATAGGGAGTCATTCGGCAGCTACTATAGTAGGGTTAGTTTGATAAATGAATTACATTCAATACAGTGGATCATGTAAGGAAAGACTGTCCTGTACCCGATTGTTCAGCTTGACATTTATTGAGAGTACCCACTCATTTATCAAAAGTACACAAGAAAAAAACCCTGGTTGAAAGAGATGAACAGAATGACTGAAGTCAATTTACTTAAGTCGGATCCATGACAGTTTCCTCCTTCCCCTGACTTGGCAGCAGCAGTCGATACCAAATGGTCTCCTTACATCTGCACACCATCTAAACCAGCTGCAACCACATCAATCAGAGAGTGCTAACCCGTCTTTTGAAGAATGTAGGCTACTACATCCATTCACCATGCTCGTCTCTGGGCCGACCTGCTGTGGGAAAACAAGCTTAGCAAAGAAGATTCTAGAAAGGAAGAACATTAGACCATATCCTGAACATATCATATGGCTCTACAACAGATGGCAGCCACTGTATAATGCCATTCAAAACTGTGTTTATCCAAGTGTTGAAGTCCATCAAGGCATTCCTTCTGACCTAAAACAAGATGAGTTTCTGGACCCAAGTGTTGTGAACGTCATTATCCTTGATGACTTACTGTTGACAGCGAGCAAAGAACCACACATTGCAGATCTCTTTGCCAAAGGAAGTCATCATCATAATCTCCCTGTGATAGCCTTGAACCAGAGTTATTTGTATTACAGCAAAGACCCTACTCACAGAAGAAACTGTCATTATCTGCTTCTGTTCAACAATCCTATTGATAAACAACCCATCATGATTTGGCAAAGCAAATGTATCTAGAATATTATTAATATTTCATCGACCCATTCCAAACAGCTACCCAGAATCCTTATGGATACTTGTTGGTGGATGTTAAACCACAAACACCTCTCCATTTGCGACTTTGTCCCAATGCATTCAGTTCAAAAGTAGACCTCCAAGCCAAGACAATTCAGTGTGAGACTTACAGAGTGAGCAGATGTGAAGAAAACCTCCCAACAATGCCATCTTGTGATGTCTGTGGACTCACATGCACGATTTGCAAAACATAGAAGAAACTGGTGTCCCCAAAAGTCCCCAGTAAGTCGACGTGGGACACCCCAAGTGGGATTCAAAAGGAAGTGGAAGGAAGACAACTTCTCTGCTGTGGAGACGCCTTGTCATCTGGTGGACTGTGTCTACTGTGGTCAGGTGTTTAGCATATACCACAATTTACAAAGACAGTTACATGATAAAGACTCTCCTGATATGGAAAATGATGGTAAGGAATCTTAAAGTGATGTTAAAGATGATGAAAATAAGAAGAAAAACAAGATGGATGACCTGGAACAGCAAGGTATAAGACAAATGTATTTACATATGCACAAGTTATAAATAAAGACTTTTTCCATGAGAAGCAACAGCTGTACAAGGAAAGAAATGATAGAAGACAGACTGAAGAAATTAATATGGAGCACTTTTAAAGAGACGTATGCACGAGTTATCAATTATCTGTATTATATGCAGTTGGGTGTAAAGACACAAGAAATACTGAAGCAAGTACAAGACACGAATAATATATATCATGGAGTGTTTTCTGTACAAACTGTACAACTATAAATCTTCGGTGGAAGATTTGGTTGGAGATGATGAAGACATGATATCTGATACAGAGCGTGAAGTATTTGGACAGTAGGAGGAAAAGGAACAATAAGATGTTGTAATTCACAAAAGATGTAAAGTAGACTTTTGGAGTGCTCCTTTCCTAATATCTACTGATTGAAACAGAGCTGATAACTATTATATGAAATCTGTATATCTTTCTTGTTTGATTATGGTACGAAATACATCTGACTGATATTAAACCAGATAACATAAACATGACCTGTTACTTAAAAGAGATATCCAATATAAACACAACTGATAATGAAGATTAGCTTGACGCTATTAGTGCCTGACGATGATGAGACTCAACCCAAAATGTACTAGAATTTGTTTTTACTAAGAAAATGTCATCCCAAATATAGCATATGTTACAACTGACCACTTTCTAAATGGCATTGTGTAATCAAAGATATCAATACATGATCGTGTTTAATTATTACCACTGAATTTATGTGTTTCATCAGAAACCATACAATTCATAGTCCTGCATTTGTCAGAAAATGTTACCGGTAACAACAGGGTTCGTGTTATGCGCCCCTACACTCTGTTGGAACAATAAATGGCTAATCAGAATTCGTGCGTGTATACAAATTCACTAAAACCGCGAGGAAATCAGTATGTAGCGTCTTTATCGATTTAAGTGCTTGGCAACTTGACAATAGCTATTGAAATAGCCTAAAGTCACTGAATTAATAATGGAGTGTTTTATCAACAGGTGAGGCGAGGCGGCAGGCACTACTGGACACGTCCTTATGACTAGAAATCTTTCTTTTAGTGAAGTAGCTAACAAAAGAGCGATACCTTATTCATTCAAGTACTAGTACACAATTTCACTAAACTGTAAAGTCATTCAAGATGTTCAGCACGCGCCTCGTGAGGGGCCCCCTGACAGTTGTGAGTGCTCAAACACAATATCAATTCAATTGTCAATAGAAATTCACCGAATCGTGAAGTAGCTAGATTGGGCAGGCAAGCAGTATCTTTGTAAAGAAGAATCACGTATTTGTGGTAGAATGTCTACAAATTTGTGTTGTCGCGCTAATTTATACACAACACATACAGAATTATTGTACGCAATAATCACTGCATAATACACATTCTATTGTGCTTTGTTGTTTCTCCAAATACTGTAGAAAGAAAGATTTTACTAGAACTGATGTGATGTGATGTCACACAAAGAGATGTGAATTTGGCAATGTCGAATGGTGTTTTGATGGTAATCGGAGTTGAAGCATGATTTTTATAGACTTATGCAAAACTGGATTAAACCGGATAATCAGTATATATCATATGATGTCATATGAATGTTCTATATCTCCGCCTAAATAGGTTACACATCTGCGAAATGAGGTCAATTTGGACCAGAAAGTTAAAGGTCACACACCTGCGTGATGAGGTGTAATTTGAACCCAAAGTAACCGGAATACTACTCGAGAGGTCATAACAACAGACTTCCAGGTCAGTTAAAATGTATGTATGTCAAACCAACCCCAGAAATGACTAGTCTCAGGTAAGTTTTGCGCAGCCTCCATCCAAGGACCTATTAAGTGACCAGGCGGACAAATACACATTGAAAGAATAAAATGCATTGTTCATGACAGTTCACTCAAACGCATTTCGTTCAGTTTGTGTTTATGGAATTAAAAACATACAACAAAATGCAGGTAAATTGGAGTTAAATTTCCGTAGACACTAAGTGCACGAGATTTGCCTGCAAGTGAACCACACACGCTCCCAGATATCAGGTGTTAGAATTTTAGTCTTTTTTTTAAACATCGCTGAGTGAGACATTAGAAATTTAGAGTTGGGTTAGAGTATCAGTCAGTCAGTCCATAGAGATTAATAATTTTAGCTTAGATATTCAGTGTGGTTTAGTCAGTAAAGAAAGTTGGAGGTTAGATATTCGGGGTTACATTAGTTTAGAATTAGTCGGGTTTTGACTATTAATGGAGTTAGAATTTAGATATTAGGACTTAGTAAAATTAGCTAAATTCTTAGAAATTCATCAACGCAAAAGTTTACATATTTAGTTAGTTCTTCACACATTCGTTTTTTAATCCATACGTGTTATCATATTTAGTTCTTCGGTTCCTCTTTAGAAAGCATTGTTATCACGTTTAGTTCCTGGTTTTACATTTTAGACAATAAGTGTTTAGTTGATTAGATCAATTTTGCAAAAGTTACGTTTTCCACAAAAACCGTCAGAACATGCATAAATATTAAGCATTTGTTTAGAACAAGAAATACAAGGACGCGACATACCTGACTAATATATGCCGCCTCTGACAAGGAACATATTTCCAACCGTGGAGACTGGTATCCTGCAGGAAGGCCTTCCGTAAGTCATGCCACTGCGAAAATACTTCTTCTCGCAATGTTCTACCATCCTTCAGCGTCGGAACCGACTCCACCTTCATGCTGCTATTCTACAGAACTCCGGTGTGAAGGATATGATTAATGTTTGCTGTGTAGTCCCAGAATAGGCTGACAGAACAGGTTTCATTCAGAAGTAGCATCGATGAATTCCCGTGAGTGACAATGCGCTCTGTCCATTGATGTGGTAATGCTGACTTTCAGTATCATGAATGTTTAATGCTTAACAATGTCAGGGCTAGAATGGATATCCTGGGGAAAAGGATTGCATTAAAGCAGTATGCGACTATTCTTGTGTTAGCCAGTATAATAGCCAGTCCTGTCAAACACATTAACAAATGAGTCGTAAAATGTAAACACGTGGTTTTGTCTAGCCTGTTCTACCTCTGATAATGTTTTTCATTCCGTGATTACTCAATTATCATCAACCATTAAACGTATTTTTTTCGGAACGATTATAAGTGTGTAATACACTCACACAATAGAATGAGATATGTCTCTACAGTTACTCGGTGCCTTTACAAAGTTTAGCTGGTGCAATTGGCGGTATATGCAGTGAGTGGAACTTTGTTAAAACCAGTAAAAATAGTGTCTGTGTGTAACAGTATTTAAACATAGATATATATTACAACATGTGTAGGAGACATGGGTTGCCCAGACAGCGGATGGGACGCATTTCACTGAGTTGTGTTCCTTGGAATCGTGGGTTCGAATGCCGGTTCTTGGCAGAAAACTACGATCTTGGGTTCGAATCCCGCTTAGCGACAGAAACCTCCTGTGTAGATGTTATTCAGCAACATACCTGTGTTCTTGGCCTTTGCCAAGGTGATGGACGTCTAATACCTCCATCACTTCAGCCGTTGTTCCTATACCAAGCTGACACACGGATGTTTTACAGAGGCACACTGTTCAAAGCAGCGTTAAACCCAACCCATCTCCTCACTACAATATGTAAATAGATAAAGCAATACATACAAAATACAATAACAATAGACTTGACAGGAAATACAATTTATATAAGGATAAATATCCCTTTGTACACACTGTATATGAAATAATGGAGATATACAATATTCTTCTCAGTCAGCAGAAGTTATGAGGTCATTTTATATGTAATTCGTAGGGCAAAACAGAAGACTGAAGTTTTTTGTTTATTTTTTCACTTTCGCTCTTTATGTCAGTGTCATTTATTCTACACAAACATAGAGCAACGTACATGTTATAGCAAAGAAACACGTGATTCTAATACAGTTTCCAAAAGTTTCCATTTCCATCATTTCGTTGGGCACATAATTTTCCACTTGGTATAAAAAATTATGAATTTATATAAAAACAATATGAGAGAGCAGACAATGTGGATAGTAGTTATTATTGATGATAATCCTCAACGTTTAGATACATGGAACATAATGAAGCTCATCAAAGGAAGCTCCGAAGGTGCGACTCTTGACGTCGTAGCATTCCACGTAGGGACATCATCCATACAACTCTGTACGAGGATGTCTCATAACTATTGTTATAACTTGACATTCAAGAAGAAATATTTTGTCACATTTTCTCTCGTATATAATATGAAAATAACACATAGATGAATTTTCGAATTGCATCTCTATGCATATCCTTATTTCTTCCCAGGAATGGATATTACATATGTAGGTAATGCTTACAAACCAAACACATCGCTCCGTGTTATTGTTGGTCCTGTCCACCACCATGCTGGAAAAGCCGATGTTCAGGACAAGGTGATCGTTTCTGACAATGATTAAGTGATGATGTCAACAAAAGGGCAAAGTAGTCAGTGATGGTGAGCTAACAAAACTCACAATCAGTGCAGGAAATAACATACATGGAACATAACGAAGCTCATCAAAGGAAGCTCCGAAGGTGCGACACTTGACGTCGTAGCATTCCACGAAGGGGCATCATTCATACAACCCTGTACGAGGATGTCTCATAAATCTTGTTGAATATTATGTTTTCATCCTGGGATACTTTCACAAATTCCCAACCACTAAACTATGTGGATGGCAGTGAAAATTGAGCTTCACTCTTATTGAAGTATCACATTTTACCCAAATGGAATTCAGGTTTGTGTGTTGTTGGCAGTGCTGTTTAAACTTTGGATGAAGTTGGTCTGGATTGTTCCTCGTGGTTTTCCTTGACCTTAACTCCGTTATTCAATTTCACAGTGATTTTAGTTCAATGTTGCTAAATTGAGCTGAAAACAACAGCAGCTCACGTTTTTGCAAAACAAGAATACCCTCAACGAAAAGGCAGTTTTATCTGAATGGTAAATGATTGCTGCTCTACCAGTTTCAGCACTTTGTACCGTTTTCACCAAAGAAAATAGCAGTTCTACGAACTGTGTGTGGCTGAGGTCCGAGGTTTATACCTTGTCCAGAGCGACATGAAGCCGACATACACACATGCAGACACCAGTTCTAGTAGTTCGATAATGGTGAGTATTCCGGCTCCAAGGAACAGTCCCATTTCACCTCCAGCTATGGCTGCAGGAAGAAAAAATGCTCTTTGATTAAAATTATCACGGAATAAACAATAATCAAATCAAATATAACCTCCAGGTATTATTATATCATAAGGGACGTCTTAGTTCACATGATGCCTGGAAACTGTAAATATCCGCATTCAGCAACATTCCTGGAAGTTGTCCATTAAACCATTTGTATCCGACAAAACCCGTGATTAACATTAGAAGCCGTCGTCGGCACCGTACCCGATACATTACGTCGTCTCTAATGATCACTCACAAGAGGCTGTTGGAGACCTATTCCAATATTACAACCCTATTCTAAATGTATCCTATAGTTGGAATATTGAATTTAACACTCCAGGTTAAGAATTCAGCTTTAGGTAAACAACGGTGTTTCTTTTTCTTCCACATTGGGGGAGGATCCATGACAACGAGTGTGGTGCTGACAAACGATGGAACTGGTATCTCTCAATCTCCAGATCCGACCGCAACTCACAGTGAATTCTGCTTTTGCCTAGAGAGTTTTAATCTTTACGTTCAAGAAGAAATATTTTGTCACATTTTCTCTCGCATACAATATGAAATACACATGGATGAATTTTCGAATTGCACCTCTGTGAACACCCTTATTTCTTCTCATGAATGGATAGTGCTACACATGTGAAGTTATGGTACAAACCAAACACATCACTCCGTGTTATTGTTGGTACATGTTCCGTCCTGTCCACCACCATGCTGGAAAAGCCGATGTCCAGGACAAGATGATCGTTTCTGACAATGATTAAGTGATGATGTCAACAAAAGGACAAAGTAGCCAGTAATGGTGAGCTAACAAAACTCACAATCAGTGCAGAAAATAACAGACGTAATTGACAGTCAGATAAAGTTTGCTTTGATTTGGTTGTTGTTTAACGCCACACTCAGCAATATTCCAGCTATATGGCGGCGGTCTAAAAATGATCGAGTCTGCACCAGACAATCCAGTGATTAGTCAGATAAAGAGTAGGACATATATTTGTGAATAAAGATAAACATTCAATTAGTCTTTAATGCCAGGATCCAATTTTCATTGGTTCAATACTTCTTGTCTGTCAGTACCATTAGCCTAACGGTAAGGTAGCACTAATACTTTACTAAAACGATTTTCGCAGTTAAGGGGCCTTATTATACTTAATGAAGACAGGAATTGTTCTGGCATTGCTTCCAAACAGGATGCTTTCAAAGTATTTCCTCTATTTAATCATATACTACCTGAAGGTCAAATGGCCGCTCTGTAACATATAAACACTTTGTAGGACCATAACCTGCCATCGTAAATCTAAGAAACACAGCTTGTCCCAACTTACCTCAGGCTCTCGACGGATGGAACATCAACAAGCTCAGCAAGCTTGGCAATCAGGAATGTGAGGTTTTGTTGGAATGGCATGAAGGAGACCTGCACGTCGTGGATGTTTGTTGGCATTCCTGCAAGCATGAGCCACTCCTTCCCTTCTTGGCCATCATTGATTCCCGATCAATAACAGACAACATCTTAATGAACAGTGTTATGGCTATCTCAGGTAGTAAAGTTAATAACTGTGTAATAATAACTTCTTTCCACTGCAGTTTTACAGATTGGGGCTGCTACGTTATTACGCAAGCTTATGCATTTATTGATATTTTTGGGGAAATTTTCTGCATGAAAGAATGGAATCGGAAAAACAGCTAGACCAGGATAGATGTGGATTGTATATATATGATAAAAATATAAGTCCAATGTTCTTACTATAAGCTGGCCTGTAACACACTTCGACTTCCTTTATGGAGCAATGCCGCAGATTTACCTCGACTGGAAAGAGAGACAGAACGTATAAACTTCTTTATTTCACCATCTTCGGTTTTATACATTACTATTATCAAATGAGTGAGTGAGTTAAATTTTACGCCGCTTTTAGCAATATTCCGTCAATATCACAACGGAGGACACCAGAAATGGTACTATTATCAAATGTGTGAGTGAGTTTACTTTTACGCCGCTTTTAGCAATATTCCAGCAATATCGCGAGGGAGGACACCAGAAATGGTACTATTATCAAATGAGTGAGTGAGTTTAATTTTATGCCGCTTTTAGGACTATTCCAGCAATATCACGACGGAAGACACCAGAAATGGTACTATTATCAAATGGTTGAGTGAGTTTAATTTTATGCCGCTTTTAGCAATATTCCAGCAATATCACGACGGAGGACACCAGAAATGGTACTATTATCAAATGGTTTAGTGAGTTTAATTTTATGCCGCTTTTAGCAATATTCCAGCAATATCACGACGGAGGACACCAGAAATGTTACTTTTATCAAATGGGTGAGTGAGTTTAATTTTACGCCGCTTTTAGCAATATTCTAGCAATATCGCGAGGGAGGACACCAGAAACGGTACTATTATCAAAGGTGGTTGCGGCTGTAATTATCTCCAAAGAAGAAACACAACAGTAGACAACTCTTACAATTACACCCTGAAATGCAGTGTTGAATGAGCCATCTCTGTGTTATATTCAGAAGATAAACGTACTGTGTTGGCAAATTAGATGAATGTTAGGCAGAATTGATAGTCTCTAAATTAATCATTTGGAACCGAACGCGCAAATGATTAATTTAGAGACTATCAATTCTGCCTAACATTCATCTAATTTGCCAACACAGTACGTTTATCTCCATTCTACCATAATCGATTTAATATCGAACTCCTTCCTTCCGCGGAAGATACTGCGTAATCCGGCATGGTGCGAGAGGCGAATTGAACTCGTCTGTGAAAGGTGTTGTAGGTGCCTTTCGTATTTATTTAAATACATTGTAACATAAAAAAAGTATGTCTACAGAAAACAAACAACTATCTATCCATTGCAGTAATTTAATACTTAACAGCCTGGTTTATATAAAATAATCCAAACACGACGAGTCTATTTGGGTATGCCACTGTACCCCCCTCCCAACACGATAATGGACTGGTCTGACTTACTTAGATTTTTGGAAATAGTTGTTTACTGTCACGTTACAGTTTGAAAGTTGGAAGGAGGCGGACGAGCTTAGTCTTTACATTCTGCGCGAGATTGAAATTTGAATTAGAAGTGACAGTGGAAGAAGCTACTGTACCGACTGTCGAATGTGAACCTTGCAGAATTGAAGAATAGTATCTTTTCTGACTGACCGACGAGTCAGTGTTGTAACGTGCCTCTACTCCGGCATGCGACAAAAGAGTGACAGTGGTGGCCCCTAACACAATGATTGGTGTAAGTGCGACTAACTTGGCATTCATTTGAAATAGTTTTCATCATGTGCGACAGAGTATTGTGGCCAAGCGGTTTTAACGTGTACCAGCATGAATCGCCAGCAGTGACAGTCTTGCGGGGAAGCTGGTAGAAAGTAGGATTCTGCTGGTTCCATTTGGAAACATCCTTTTCGAAGGACGCAACTGGGCATGATGCAGTGTGAGTGGCGTAAATTCGGGGTTTCGCCGGGCCCTTATCTTGCAACCCCCCGGGATGATTTTTGGTGGATTCGGAATGTGTCATTGTTATATACTCCATACCTACATCATCGGATTCTACAGCAAATGAATGAATCGTTAAATCACGTTGATTTTCATTCCCCGTGCGACCAAAGCCCAAAGTTAAATAAAACCACACCTTTCTTTGTAACTGAAGTGGTGTGTCGACAGATAGAGAATTTCTAATTTTTGCAAGATCTGCCTGTGAGATGGGTTCGTGGTGTTGTGCATTGTCCAGACCAAGTTTTTTAATTTTCCTTAGCATTCCTAGGAATACATTGTTGGCGCTATGAAACGCAATGTCCTGCAAAATATTGATGTTTCTTTCAAACGGAGGAGATCGGATGCCGACGAAAGAAGACTTTGAATAGAATTTGCCCTCAGTAGTGCGAAGTTCCGCATAAAAGTGTCGGAGGTGTGACGCCAGTTGTTCTTTTGGAAACGCTTCAAAGTTACTGGATATTTCAGGATGTGTGAGCCATTCTGAACGGAAAGAAACATATCGTTTACCAGGTGTCACATATTTTACTAACATTTGCTGTTATCTTTTACATAAATAGGGATGTATTTTTACAAGGTTTTGTGCAATGTCAAATATTGTTTGTTTATCAGATCGGGGAGAACCTGAAAACGACCTATAATAGTTAGATCGAGCTATAGTAGTTCAAACGAGCTGTAGGCCGATAGGTCGATCGAGCTATCATAGCACATACATGGAAGAGGCCCTTTAAGAACAACTTTCCGCACCGCGGTCATGGCATTGCTACACACGACTGGAATCGTCTAACCCATATTTGAAGCCATTTGCACCACAAACCCGAGCGTTTGTGATATATGAGCTGCTAAACTACCGAACCCAATGGACATTTAGACTTGGGAGACAAAATAACACACCGAAAAACAGAAAATATACACCGAAACTTGGAGGCCCACCTCGCGAACGGCTGAACTTGACGATTGCATGAATTACAAATTGGCTTCAAATATTGGTTAGACGATTCCAGTCGTGTGTAGCAATGCCATGACCGCGGTGCGGAAAGTTGTTCTTAAAGGGGCTCTTCCATGTATGTGCTAAGATAGCTCGATCGACCTATCGGCCTACAGCTCGTTTGAACTACTATAGCTCGATCTAACTATTATAGGTCGTTTTCAGGTTCTCCCCGACCTGTTTATGGTTTGGCCTATTAATTGTAATTGTGTTTACAAATTCTTATAATGGAAGCTTATGTGATAGGGAGGTTCACTCACAAATAAGGAGGGAATTTTCATATAATGTTATTTTTGAGACCAGGTTTAATCAATGTTTTATTATTAATATTTCGCTCAGGTTGAAAAATCCTGACTCCCCAGTGTGTTGTCCGTAGGGTTGATTTGGGTCGGCCATCTAAGAAAATTGAGTCCAGGTCAGCTTCATCTATTGCTGCGAAGCGGCCGTGGCTTTTCCTGAAGTTGTTTGTTTTGCATCCCTTGTGTCTGTGGGAATAATGTATTGGGTATGTATTTATTTAAAAAAGAAACAATCCATTCACGAGACAAAATACAAATGTAGATCTATTCTCTTTGCAATCTTAATCAGGTGGCTAATGACAGGCCCCATTATAAAATTGTAAACAAAGCTCGTACAGTCATAGTAACCGGTTGTTTTCGCTTTTTCAATAGTTCCGGACTACTGTCTTTTTCATTAGTTATATTCGCCCTACCCGTA